CCATCCCTTAGTTTCGGGTTGGGTCAAAAGCACACTGCCTTAGCTCTCCCGAAATGGTGGTGATAAACACTTTGGAAGTGCAAATGAGATGCGCTGCTAGCGATGTCCCAAGACAAGGCCGACCTCTGCAGCAATGTCAAACAGGAAGCGGAAAGGTGGCTTCCTGACAAAACTTCTACCACAAAGGCATGAAGCCTGGGAGTCTTGAAAGCTCACCTCAGCCTCTCCGGCAGCATGCGCGGTCGCGCGATTCGAGTACCAAGAGTGGCCTCACCCCAAAGCTTCATCGAAAAAAACTCCCAGAAGAGGCTGCGAAGGCTTTCGTCTGGAAGCCTGCGTCTGGAGGATCCAGGGTTCGATCGCCTGACGCGATCTGTGACTAGAAATCTCACAAAATATTTGACAAGGCCGTCTCAAGAGTACAGCAAGACAAGTTCGGTGAAGTGCTGCGCATGGAACCTTGAATCAGAAGTCTGCCCCTGTCCTTTGGATACCATTTTGGGGGCTGTAACAGTAAGGAGATTGATATATTAGGGGTCTCCTTGTTTTTTGCATAGGAGTCCCTGGCCAATGCACCTCAGCAGTCTCGTTCTCGCCGCCCTCAGCCATTCTAGGCTGCCAGGACTTGGCAAAGGCCAGGTCAAGCTTACTTACTTACTGGTGGTTCCTAGAAATTCTGGGGCATGGGGTATCAGAACGAATTGCTGTAGGATTCATTCTTCCGTTCCCTACTTACCATCCGTAAGATTACACGCTCTGTTGATCAGTAGAGCCAGCGAATCCACAGCATTGAGCCACTTGATGGCTCCCCGTATGGTCCTGACAAGAAGGTCTTCGGGGTAGGGGCAGTGAATCAGCTACTGCTACCGTGTTGAACAACCTTTTCTGGCGTTGGGCCATGTAGGCCGCTGCGTGTCCGCTGCTCCATCGCATGCATTCATGATGCGGGCATCTGCTTGAGCAAACGGCGAGCGGGGCATTCAAAACAGCACGAGCGAACATTGCTCAAAGTCGTTAGCAGAGACAGCTAAGCTTCTTGGCGCTAGCCTTCCTGTACACTTCGACTAATCCTTACAGTGCTAACAATCAAAACGTGAGCCTGGAGATTTTTAAGGACCGCAGTGCAGCGGTATGCGACGAGGCTGAGAAACAAGTCAGCAAGATGTGCCGGTGTCGGCTTAGGCTGTCCGGGAGCCCTTCCCTCGCCCTCCTCAAGCTGACAGGGAACCAGAGATACCATTGAACCTTCCTTTTGAGTCCAGTCGCCATAATTTGGTGTAATTTGGACCTTTGGGGCGAGGTGGGCAGGAGAACTTCCTGCAGCTTCAGCATCTAGGCGGGGAAGTCATCGTCTCCGAAGACCTCAAGGCTTTCGATCGCAACTCTTCAAAAAAAACGTCTCCTTGATTGCAGCGGCTTGCAACATGGCAGCACGAAGCTATGCCCACATCAGTGCAAAGCATGAAAAGACTCGAACGCACTCATCGTCATCGTCATCATCGTTGTCCGGGAACAATCCCTGGCATCGTTGTGGGCACTTCTCCCAGATGGGCCAAGCCTCCTGTCATCCTACTGTGCCTCTGGCCCCCAGCTGCTAGCCCACAAACCTACAGGTCTTCATGCGGAATCGCTCCTGGCACCCCATTTCAAGGGCTCCACCAGGCACCCAAAGCAGCAGCTCTGCAGATGCACAAGAATTCCAGTCCCTGAATGCAAACGGCACAGGCATGGGCCTTCTTCCTCAAGAAGTTGTTGGCTTCAAGGATCATAGGCTCCCGAATCTGCAACGAGCTATGTGAGATGAGAGGTCAGACGCAATACCTCGCATAGACCCTGACCTGAATGATGCATTGCCAAGACTCCAAAAAATTCAGCGCAGCAGTTTTCACCACTCCAAAGGCATCTGGGCCTTCAGTGGGAAGATGCCCTTGTCAGCATTTGTCTTCACCCTGCGCAGACGCCCCACGCACATTTCCGCGTCAAGAAAGAAACATGCCTTCTACTTGCAGTTGCAGCTCAGTCCATTCCAGTACTGCCAGATCAGAAGTCACAGGATGCTCAGAGTAAACTCAAAAGCCTTCCTACATTGCAAGACTTGCTATAGAAAGAGGTTTGTCCAATTCATGACCACTCTCGAGATGCTCTGACACTGAAGGTAGTTGGAACCTGCGATCAAGTAAGTGTTGGTGGTTTGGCCGGGCGTGTCGCCGCCTCCGCTGTTCCGCCTTCTACTACGATGACGACGATGACGATCGACGACGATCGACGACTAAAGGTAGCGAAAGGCCGAAAGACGAGCGCCCAGACGGGGTTCCAGTCGAACGTGGAAAAGCTGACCCTCTCGGAAATCTTGGAAGACATGATGTTCTTGGGCTGCCAAGAAATCCAGAAGTAATCGCCGTCCGTGTTGTATTAGCCGCAGCAGGAGGAGTAGTACTTGTAGCAGTCGCAGTCGCAGTCACAGCAGCAACAGTAGGAGGGGGAGGACTGTAGCAGCAGCATCAACAACAGCATCAACAACAGCATCATCAACAACAACAACAGCAGCAATAACAACAGCAGCAACAGCAACAGCAACAGCAACAGCAACAGCGATAACCACAACAACAACCGCAACAACAGCAAACAAAAGAGAAGTCAAGAACAAGAATAATACTGACGAGACTACGACCTTGCTGGCCCTGGTGATGGTACGAATTATATGAATGTACACGAAAAACATCAGAACTCCAGGTCCGCGCGCTTTCCCGTGCAGAGGGCGTCGGTCTCCATCACGACCTGCAGGAGCCCGCTGGATGACCGGCTCACGCTTTAGGCAAGTGCTTGAAAAGTTCCTTGACCACAGTACTATGCGCATGTCAGTGATTCCTCATACCATTGCCGAAATTACTGGGCCTTATATGCATCACCTTCCTTTCAGCCGCATAATTTGAACTTGCTCCATGGTTATCTGAATCACGTAAATAAATCGACAAGCCTGAAGCTAAGGGCTTCGTCGCTGGTTCCGTTCTTCCGTTCTCATGCCAAGACCCACCAGATACTATATCTTGAGCTGCATTTTGCCACCTCAGGAACCGTAACAACCTCGACGCCAAACCCAAACCGTAAACCCTAGTTCTCAACCCCAAACCTACACCTTGCAGAGTCCTAGATCCTGAGCCTCAAACTTAATCCCTTAAACCCCAAACCCTAAATCCCTAGGTAAATCAAACTCCAAACCCTACATCCTACTAGCCCTAAACCCCAAAACCCCTACACCTTGAAAGTATCCTCATGGTCCGCTTTGCCTCGCCACCCTGGGACTTCAACACGACCTCCAGCCACTCCTTGCAGTTGAGCTCGGCCTGCGAGAGGCTTAGGCTCTGGGGGGTTTCCCCCATAAGGGTTTAGGGTTAGGGTTGGGTTTACATTGGGATAATGGAAAAGAAAATGGAAACTACTATAGTATATTTGGGTTAACATTGTGATAATGGAGAATCAAATGGAAAACAACATGGAAAAAAATGGAAACTGGGGTTATATAGGGGTTTATAGGGATTAGGGTTTCCCAAAATTGGGGGTACCCTTTTTGGGGGTCCCTATGATAAGGACTATAATATCTTAGGGTCTATATTGGGGTCCCCCTATTTAGGGAACTACCTTTTCTTGTGTGGGGTGTAAGGTTGCATTGTTCACCGGGAGGGTTTCAAAATGAGGGGTACCAATATTGTGGTCCCTCATTTAGGGAAACTACCATACAGGGCTTGGAGTTTAGATTTTTCAGCCCCCCACACTGTTATATTGAAAAATTTGAGTCTGGGGTTTTGGATTCGGGGTTCTGGGTGGAGGGGTGTTGGACACAGTCATCTTACGATGATCACAAGATGCAACGATGTGCACTGGCAATGATGCTTCGGCGGGATTCTCAGCAATCACAACAAAAGGAGTCCTGAGCAAAATTCGGCAAGATTGTGGAGGGTGCATCCATTGTAGATGCGTCCAGTGTAGCATGGCAAGCTGCAAAAGACCTTGGGAAGTCAGCGCACGTGTCCTTGCGCCTGTGGGCTCTCGAAGTCAGAACACTGCGTTTTGCCCTGCATGATATACTGCCAATCTGAATTCTGCTACCTTGCATCGCAAGCATCACAAATGGCAATTCTGCCACTGCTGGACCGGATTCTGACCTTCAAGGTCAAGTGTCTACACAGAAGAGTCAAGACCGCTACTTATCCATCAGCCACACTGGCCGCGCTCCCGCCCACAATTGAATTTCGGAGTCTGTAGATCTGGATGTATCTAAAGTTTCTAAATAACACACTGGCAGCTGTCAGCAGGGACACCACATCGCGGGCCGCCCAGGGATGCGAACGAGAGCACGCCAGGTTTACATCATGAGGGGAAATGTGTACTGCACAGAATTGTAGGGCGCAACATGGCGCAAAGAAAAAAACGGAAGGCACAGCCCTAACTCACTGCTGATCAGTACGTCTCTGACGTCTATGAAGCCAAAGACG